TCACACCAGTCCCAACCTCCCTTAAAAAAATACTTACCTTCATCCTACATCTGTTCTACGATCAAAGTATATGTCTCAGCTGTTATAGCCCACCAACCTACCGGCTCCTGGTCTATTAAACTTTTGTCTCATCCAACTGTCAAAAGATTACTCAATGGCCTACAAAACATCAGGCCTCCATCACAACGAATTGTACCAGAGTGGTTCCCTTCAACTGGTCTTGGAAGCGCTTACCAAACTGCCATTCAAACCCATGGCCACCTGTAATGAGAAACTACTTTCTCTCAAAACCACCTTTCTCATCGTAATCACCTCTGCGAGAAGAGCCAGCAAATTGGCCGCTCTAAGATCAGACCCTCCATATTTACAGATGCATCTGGACAAAGTTACCTTATACCTGGACGTCTCCTTCCTACCTAAGGTGGTATCAGACTTTCATCTAAATCAGTCTGTTACACTTCCAACATTATTCCCATCTCCGTCCACACCGATTGAGTGAAAGCTTCACACACTAGACGTGAGAAGAGCCCTCACTTTCTACCTTGATAGGACAAGGCACTTTAGACGTTTTCTTAAACTATTCTTATGCTATCACGGACCCAACAAGGGTGCTCATGCCTCCTCTCAGACATTATTGAGATGGATAGTACAAACAATTCCATTAGCATACCAACTTGTAGGCAAGCTGATACCAGACCATTTGAAGGCACACTCTACCCGAGCAGTTTCTACATCGACCGCTCTTCACTGAGGCATACAGATACAGAACATCTGTAGAGCAGCTACTTGATCTAACCCTCTGACATTTGCCTCAATGTCAGAGCCAGAAATGATGCTGCATTCGGAAGGGTGATACTGTCATCTTTGCTACCGTGACAGCCCTCCATCTGGTGACTAAGCTTGCTATTCACCCACTTCTGTGTATTCACAGAGGCCACTACGAAGAAAGTTAGGTTACCTACTTGTAACCATGGTTCTTCTATTGGACCTCTGTGAATTCACACATCCCTCTCTTCCTCCCCTCTATCCATCATGTTGCCTTTCTTTTTGGTACCTACTCTTGGTAATGGTGGACTTAGGGAACTGAAAGGAAGGTTGAGGAGGCGGAGCCCATGCCCTAGGGGGAGGAACTAAATTGTTTCTTTTTTCCTAAGTTCTAGAATTTTCCAAACATCCTGCGCAGGTGCAGAATTAAATCCATTTGTGTGAATTCACAGAGGTCCACGAGAAGAACCATGATTACAGGTAGGTAACCTAACTTTATCTCTGACTCCTCCTTCTCCCACCAAACCTCATGTAGCTGTTGACTCTGCCTCTCCAGTCCTCCCATAGGCTCATGCAAATCAGCTCTTGACTATGAATGGCATGAGTGATGTGGAGCGATCATCACACCCGCCATTGTCCCTAACCTTGCACTATATTTTGAAGGTGTGTCACAATGTCAATGACAAGAGACAATATTAATTAGGGGAAGTCAAGGGACGAATGAGAACACAGTACAGTGGTGCCTCGCTTAACGATTGCCTCGTTTAGCGATGAATTTGCATAACGATGTGTTTTTTAGAAAATAATATGCTCTGCATAACGATGTTTCCTATGGGCGATTTTCGCTTAGCGAAGTTTGGGACCATGCTTCGCATAACGAATGCGATTTTAGGTCCCCTGCTTCACTTAACGATGTTTCTTTTTTCATTTTAAAAAGTGTCTTAGAAGGGTCAAAAACGGTTCTAAATGCTTGGATTCGTTAGAGGACCCCTTAAGTCATGTGCAAACCTGATTTGGCTTTGATCTGAGCAGCTACTATCAAAAAAGTCCCTGAAAGAGAGTCACTGTTCATTCTTGGAGACTTTAATGCTAGAGTTGGTGCTGATCACAATTCTTGGCCCACTTGTCTAGGCCGTTTTGGCATTGGAAAGATGAACGAAAATGGCCAACGCTTACTGGAGTTTTGCTGTTACTATGGTCTCTGTGTCAGCAACACATTCTTTAATACGAAGCTGCAACACAGAGTTTCCTGGAGACATCCAAGATCCAAGCATTGGCATCAGCTCGATTTGATCCTCACTAGACGTTCTAGCCTTCCTAGTGTTACGATCACACGCAGCTACCAGAGTGCTGATTGCGATACTGATCACTCCCTGGTGTGTAGTAGAGTAAAACTGCGAACAAAGAAATTGTATCACATGAAAAAGGAAGGAAGACCACGTATTGACATCAACAAGACTCGCGATCAAAGAAAAGTGAAGGAATTTGCCCAAGCACTCGAGGAAACCCTTCCAGGTCCAGCTAATGTAAATGCACCTGAACGATGGGAACACTTCAAGAACACTGTCTACAACACCGCCTTGTCCACCTTCGGCAAGAAGACCAGAAAGATGGCTGACTGGTTCGAAGCCCATTCGGAGGAGTTAATGCCAGCCATTGAGGATAAGAGAAGAGCTCTAGCAGCATACAAAGCCTGTCCTAGCGAGTACAACCTGCAAGCTCTTCGAGCCGCTCGTAGCCAAGTCCAACAGGCTGCCAGGAGATGCTCCAATGACTATTGGCTTCAGCTTTGCTCTCAGATACAGATAGCAGCGGACACAGGTAACATCAAAGGAATGTATGATGGTATCAAGCAGGCCTTAGGTCCATTACAGAAGAAATCTGCTCCCTTGAAGTCTACTACAGGTGTGATCATCCAGGACCGAGCACAGCAGATGGAACGCTGGGTGCAGCACTACTCCGAGCTATATTCCAGAAAGAATGTAGTAACCGAAGAAGCATTAAATAACATTGAGTGCCTGCCTGTCTTGGAAGAGCTGGACAGCGAACCAACCCTAGCAGAAATAAATGCGGCCTTGGATTCCCTCACCTCTGGCAAGGCACCTGGAAGGGACAACATCCCTGTTGAAGTGCTGAAATGCGGTAAGGAGATCATCATCACCGAACTGTATGAAATCTTTTGTCTCTGCTGGAGGGAAGGTGGAGTACCACAGGACATGAAGGATGCAAACATTGTCACGTTGTACAAGAACAAAGGTGACAGGGGTGACTGCAATAACTACCGTGGTATCTCTCTTCTTAGCGTTGTAGGGAAGCTGCTTGCCCGTGTTGTGCTGAAGAGGCTCCAGGTGCTTGCAGACAGAGTCTATCCGGAATCACAGTGTGGATTTCGAGCAAATAGATCCACCACTGACATGGTATTCTCCCTCCGACAGTTGCAGGAGAAATGCAGGGAACAACAACAGCCACTCTTAGTGGCCTTCATAGACCTTACAAAAGCATTTGACTTGGTTAGCAGGGATGGCCTTTTCAAAATACTTCCCAAGATTGGATGTCCACCTCGTCTCCTTAACATCATCAGGTCCTTCCACGATGGAATGAAAGGCACTGTAGTTTTTGACGGCTCAACATCAGATCCCTTTGACATCCGAAGCGGAGTGAAACAGGGCTGTGTCCTCGCACCAACACTTTTTGGGATCTTTTTTGCTGTCATGCTGAAGCATGCCTTTGGAACTGCAACAGAAGGTGTCTATCTCCGGACTAGATCAGATGGAAAGCTCTTTAATCTCTCTAGATTGAGAGCAAAGACCAAAGTCCAGCTGAAATGCATGAGGGACTTCCTCTTTGCAGACGATGCAGCCATTGTTGCCCACTCTGCTGAAGACCTCCAACAACTCATGAACCGTTTCAGCAAGGCCTGCCAAGACTTTGGACTAACAATCAGCCTGAAGAAAACACAAGTCATGGGCCAGGGTGTGGACTCACCTCCCTCTATTACCATCTCCACACAAGAATTGGAGGTTGTTCATGACTTTGTGTACCTTGGCTCAACCATCTCTGACACCCTCTCTCTAGATGTCGAGCTGGATAAACGCATTGGGAAAGCAGCCACCATGTTCTCTAGACTCACAAAGAGAGTATGGCTCAATAAGAAACTGACAACACATACCAAGATCCAGGTCTATGGAGCCTGTGTCCTGAGCACACTCCTGTACTGCAGCGAGTCCTGGACCCTTTGTGCCCGGCCGGAGAGGAAGCTGAACACCTTCCATATGCGTTGCCTACGACGGATTTTTGGTATCACCTGGCAGGACAGAGTTCCAAATAGAGTAGTCCTAGAACGAGCTGGAATTTTCAGCATGCATACATTACTGAAACAGCGACGTCTACGCTGGCTTGGGCACGTTGTGAGAATGGCTGATGGTCGGATTCCAAAGGATCTCCTATATGGAGAATTAGTGCAGGGAAATCGCCCCAGAGGGAGACCACAGCTGCGATACAAGGATATCTGCAAGCGGGATCTGAAGGTCTTAGGAATAGACCTCAACAGATGGGAAACTCTGACATCTGATCGTTCAGCCTGGAGGCAGGCAGTACATCACGGCCTCTCCCAATTTGAAGAGACCCTTGTCCAGCAGGCTGAGGCAAAGAGGAAGTCACAAAGGAAGCAAAACCAGGTAGCTGGACAGGGGACAGATTGGATTTGTCTCCAGTGTGGAAGGGATTGTCACTCTCGAATTGGCCTCCTCAGCCACACTAGACGCTGTTCCAAGTCCTCCATACAGAGCACGCTACCATAGTCTTTCGAGACTGAAGGATGCCTACTACTCAATTTTGCAAAAATTGACTTCGCAAAGCCATTGAAATGTATTGAGTCAGCTTCAATACTGACCAATGAAGGAAACATTGTTTCGCTTAGCGATGTTTCCTATGGGTTTTTTCGCTTAACAACGGCAATCCGTTCCAATTGGAACGGATTAACTGGTTTCCAATGCATTCCTATGGGAAATGGTGTTTCGCATAGCGATGGTTTCACATAGCGATGTTTTTTTTGGAACCAATTAACATCGCTATGCAAGGCACCACTGTATATTAGGAGCATTTGCCAGCAAATTAGGACGTAATAAAGACACTTTCAAAAAGGTCAAAATACAGTTGAAATGGAGGGGGAAATTGAGCAATTTCCCCCTCCATTTCAACTGTATTTTGACCTTTTTGAAAAGAAAGATTAGAATACTCAAAAAGTTGTTTTCAGTACTTTTCTGACTACACCCGCCAGCCTTATTATTAGCTTTTTGTCAGCCGTTTAAACTTCCTGACCACAGAAAATAAAGAATTCAAGGTTCCTCAGAAATAGTTATTTCTTCTTCACCCAGAAAAAAATCTTGAAATATGAAAGATTTACTTTAAATATCATTGTATTCACCTAATTCAAATTATGAGCTAACAGAAATTTGGGCAAAATAAGTTCTTTCTAATTTTTTCCTTTGAAGTACAGATATGTCTAAAAACAGAGACCTGCTAAAACATAGAAAAGTAGCTTGTGTTCTGCTCCATTACAGATTCAGATTTTAAGTCTTGCTATTCATGCAGGTACCTCAAGGAGTCCTTGAAAGGAGCACGCTACTCCAGCTAAACATTACTGGGAATGCTGGAGCATATTTGGATTTACTGGTAGAAAATATGGGCCGAGTCAATTATGGACGATTCAACAATGACTTCAAGGTATACCTCTGCCTGGAATAAACATAACCATCCTAAGGATAAAATGGCATTTTAAATGTGTGTGTGCTTGTGGTGTTTGTTCTTGCAGGCCCAGTGTGAGGGAAGACTTTTGACATAGCATGTAGTCCTTTAAAATGCCTAGAAATGGAGTGTGCCATGCCAACACAGCTGTTGATTGGTAATACAGATACAGATGCTACAGATCACATCTGCTTATGTTGAAAATGGTGGGAGACGGGTTGATGCTTACCAGTGTGTACATCGTGTGATTTGATAGATTACCAATATGTACAGTTACTATTGACGTACAGTTACCATTGGGCTGTTGGAATCAAAACCTTGGCATACACCATACTGTAGAAGAGGCTGTCTCAAACAATGCCTCTCCTTGGAGGTATTAGCAGTTGGTTAGGTGGTGCGAGGTATCCAGGGGACTATTACAGTGATATAGAGGCATGCCTGGCACCTTTCCACATTTACAAATATCTTGAGTTAAACCAGAATGTATAGTATGGATCTGTGCCCTTCATTCTTTCCTGTTTGTTATACTGTGGAAGACTGTGCTCCCTGAACTCCCACTGTTAATACTGGACAAATGTAAAAGTGAGTGATACCTTTTATGGGACCACTAACATTTAAACAAATTGCAAGCTTTCAATTCCACTTCTTCAAAAGTCCAGAAATTGATGGTACATGTCTGTGAGAGGTTAGGTTAGCCCTCTTGAGGCTGCTGTCATGAACAAATTTGAAGTCTGGTTTGAATTTTTATACCCCTGCTCTTAGGACCAAAAGGCTGCCAATTACTCTGCTATTCCCCCCCCCCCAATACTGCCTACTTGAAACATGGAGTTTCTTTTTGGCTTAAGGGGGTAGGGAGAAAGAGCAGAGACATCGCAACTTCTAGTCTCACATAACAGCATGTTCTACCTCCCCGCAGCCATAACAATAATAAGAAATACTAACTTTTGCCTAGTGTAGAAGCTCTGTAAGATCAAGTACACCAAAGGGATTAGACAAAGAAAATTAACCTATGTAGAAAAAGATGATAGAGAAGGGTTTGCAGTAACATTGCAAGCTGTTAGAAAAGAATGCAAAAAAGCTTTTTCAGTGAGCCATAACTTTTTTTTAGAAGTTTAGCTTTCAAGTGTTTTGCAGTTCTTCTACAGGATGTGGAAACTTATGCATATGCAACACTGTGCATCATAAAGGTGAGATTAGAATCCTAGATTAATTTATCTCACAACGGATCTCTGAAACTGGAGCTTCAAAAAGGATATGCTCAGGTACTAAGCAGCCAGCTTTTACACATGTGCTCTGTTTCATAGATCTGCTAAAATACCTTCAGGTGTGAATGTTGGCAAGCCTGTGTGCTATCCAAACAAACAAGTCCCTTTTAGAGTCTATTTTTGAGTTAAGACTGAACTGTCATTGAATAATCTAAACTTTGAGCAAAATCGCATAAATTTACTCCTGGACCAGAATCTTTTTGGGGAAATTCAGAAGTGCAATAGGAATCACGCGAGCACCCCCTCTTCCACCCATCAAGCTCTTCTCATACACTGGTTGCAAAATTAGGTGTGAATCTAGTTGTCCAGCTGATTTGACCACACTCTGCTAGAGGGGAAGAAAACCTCTGGGTGACTGCACTTGCATTTACGGTTCTTCTTAATATTCTGCCCCTGCTGTTCTCCTATAATTCCAGTTCTTGTTGAGTAGGCAAAATAGTGGTAGGGGAGGGGACTGTTTTGTGTTCAATGTACTTTGTGTTTTTCTTTTTCCTGAAAATTCATGTGTGCCATTTTTAAGCATTTGAAAAATGTCATTTTGTTCGATGTATTTAAACAGAATGTTATTTGGGGCCAGCAAGAGAAAATGTGTCTTTTATAGCCTGTGCGTGGACTGTGTTACTTCTTGTTTTACAGCACAGTTCTATACCCACGTCTTTGCTATTAAGCCTTATTGAACAAGATTTACATTTTTGTTGATGTGTATGATTCTTAGTATACAGTAGTGCTTTTAGGTGATGGCAGTATTCTGCATCTGTAGAAGGCATAATCAGCTGAAAAATAATTGTTTTACCTTTTTTTAAAAAAAACCTGCTAAACCTGTTGGAGAAGATCAAGCCCAACACAGCTGTTTCCAGAAGTTTCCGATAGTGTTCTTGTAGTCCTAGAAGAAATTATGGATCCAGATCCAAATTCTGATTATTTTTCTTTTAGTAGAGAAAATGAATTTGAGTTGTTTGTTTTTCAAAATGTTGATTTATAATATGGTACTGTAATTAAATCCTAACAGGAATAGTGCAAATTAAGACAATTTCAAACAAGACAAATTCTTGTTAAACAAAGTGATTGCCTGACAAATATTTCCTGAATTTTCTTCATGTTTTTGTTGTATACCAAACACTAATAGCAGTGGATATATTTAAAAGAACAATTTCTGCTCTTCCTTATCTGTTACATTTATGATAAATTTATTTGCAGGGCCTGATATCTAACATAACTCTGGCTGAAGAGACACTCACCGGTTGGGAGATATATCCCCTGGACATTGACAGAGCTGTGGGCAAGGGCCTCAATCATGATATATCTAGTATCCAGAGTATATCAACCTGTCAAGAGCCTTCTTTTTACATTGGCAATTTTTCCATTCCCAGTGGAATCCCTGACTTGCCTCAGGACACCTATATCTCATTTCCTGGATGGACAAAAGTAAGTTTTGTTTTCATAAAACATTCAGCCAATTTCTGTTTTTATCATATTGGCCATTGGTTATTTACGCCAGCCTAATTGCAGTGGTATAAATCACAGTGGCTAATTGCTTCTAGTTAATGAATCCCTGCTTCTATTCCTGCTTGCATGCCAGTTATGGGACTTGGAACACAATGGGGAATATAAGTGGTAACCCCTTAACTAATGGCAATTCACCATTGTGATTTATGTCATTGCCCTTATGCTGACAAACATAACTAACAGGATGCTGGCCATTTTTGCAGTTAACCAAACATAGTTTAAAGGCAGAGTATAAAATCATTAAGTTAATGTGGTTGTGCAATAATACTATTAAATGGTTTGACTGTGGTTTGAATAGTTTTGTGTGTGTTTTAGTTGCTTTATGAATAGCAAAGAATACAGCATACCTTAGTACTGAATGCCTCAATCACTACAGCAGTAAACAGCGCTGCAAAAGGCGCTCCTTTTACTCATGTGGAAGCAGAGGAGAGAGTATTTTTGTGTTTTGCCTTTCCAAAAGCCACAGCAGAAAATTGTTTTGTTAAGAATGCTTTGAGGTTTGAAGTCTCTTATCACCTTGTGAAAAATGACTGATAATATCTCAGTCTAATACTGTAGGCCTATAACCAGAATGTTTTTTTAAAAATGTATGGAGGAAATGTTTTGACATGATAATTTATAAAAGGTTTATGTATGGTTTACAAAGGGAAAGTATGCAGCATAACTTGATCAGGGAACTTAGTTTCTCAGTGCTGTTGTCAAGAACATCTCCCATTTTCCTTTGCAATATACATTTTAACTATCTCAAATTTCAATTTTACAAGGCCAAGACTCTGGCCCAACTTATTTATGGCATCCCTATTTGGATCCTGGGATTCAATGCCTAAGTTGAAAAACTTCAGTCTACCTTCTTAAGGAAACTCTTGAACTTTCCATCTTAGAATCATAGAATCATAGAACCATCTTGTGTGGGTTATTCTGCTGTCTATCTGGAACTGGGCATTCAATTAGTTGAATACAAGGCATGGATTGCGGCCTTTAAAAGGTGGCTATAAGTAAGCAATAGAGAGAGATAACTACCAGCAGCCCCTGGTAGTTATCTCTCTGTACTGCTTACCTATATTGCCCAATGGTCAAGAGAGATGGAGAAGAAGCTATTTAAGTTAGGTCTTCCAGTAGAAGATGTGGTTAAATCCCTTGTGGTTCAGAAATTAATAGATTTGTACCTACAGCACTTAAGAACTGCAGCTAATGACTTCTGGCTTGATGCAACGAGACAGCAGCAGGAGGACGGAGCTCCATCCCCTGGACTGAATTCCGACCTATTTGGGACCCCCAGCATGTTAAAACCACCATGAAGAGGTGGTAAAATGGGGGAGAAGCCTGTTGATCACTGGGGAACGGCGGTTACCCACATTTGATCCAGGAAATCCCCAATCAACCAGCGGGCGGAAACAAGCAGCTGAACTAGCTTGCTTGAAAATCGTCGGCAGCCAGGAATGAAGAAGCAATAAATCAGCCTAATTTTATCATGTTACCACTGGGTGAGAAACATTTTTTAAACTGTATTCATTTACTATCCCTGGATGAGACAATTCATGCAGCAGAAATAGCGTCTCATAGCTCTTCATCTGCGGTCACAAACAGTCAGACACGACTTAACGATTAAACAACAACAAAAGCTCTTAATCACTGATTGAGCTGCGGAGAAGCTGGAGAGAGGAGGAGACACAAGGAGGTGCAAGGAAAATAAATTGGACATTAATTAGGAATTTAATTATACTTAAAAGAAGGAAGTTCGGTATCAATTTGTCATTGTAAACCTAAGAATCTTTCTCCTGAAAACACTATGGGCGACAACTCTGGGAAACAAAACCTGTTTATGCTATGTGTAACAACTATCTAAGGCACTGGAAAAAGCCTAGAATCAATTACCTTGAACGTTTTATGGATGTTTGGAATTCTCTTTCTCTTTGAAGATGGAACTGAACTACAGACAAATTAACCCTAGAAAGCCTAATCTAGCCAAAGTGGAATTTATAAACTGTATCCTGGGTGCTGAACTGGATGGGACCTTGAGCATTTAGGTCATTTAGGGGGAAACTATCTATGTCTAAGACTGGATTCAAGCTTAATGGAATTGGACTGATTACTTTAAGCATCTGGACAACTTTAACTTGGAAAACATTTTTTGACAGCTGGAACATAATGACACAACAAGGACAATTTTGGTAGAAAACAAAATCTACTCTTGAAGCAATATTAGAAATAGTGATAGCCCACAATGAAGAGGCAAAACTATTCAAGGAGCAGTTGAAGAAGAATTATAGTCAACAGGAGACAAGGAATAATGAACAAGGAAATTAGAGGGTGGTGCATGGTGCATGCTAACCAGAAGAGGGGTTGGAGGAAATTAATGGGGAAAACCTAGGAGAAACAATTTTAACATTGGAGCCGATGAGAGTTTCAAGGGAAGATAAGGGGAGAAAACCAGCAGAATTAATTAAAAATAGCCTGGAAGATCTATTGGAGATAGACCAAGTGTATAAAGATCTATTGGAGATAAATCAAATGCACAAAATGGTTTCAAAGGACACAAAAGATGGCAGAATGTTTAGAGGGACAGAAACAAAAATTGAAAAAAGACAAATAAGAGAAGGAATTAATTAGAAAGATGAAAAGGGAAAAATAGGAAGGTTGCCCTCAATGTTGAAGAGCATGTATATACCTAACTTTGGGAATTGTAAAGGGGCATATCTTATATATTTAAAAAGACAATTAAATTGAACTAAGGGAGCACTAATCAGGGTAAAGGCATAATATGGTGGTTTTTTAAGGTAGGAATTAAGGAATTAAACAATCAATACAACTATAATATACATTATGTGTGGCAGACTCTTAGGGAGACAAATTCCACAAATAATGGTTAGGAGCATACCCCTACCCCCAATTCATACATATTCATATATGCATACATAGATGTATATATCTAGAGGATTAAGGCACCATTTCTTGCCTGCAGACTAGTGCTGCTGCACAGAAACTGGCCACTTTAATCGTTACTGATGGACACTGGTCTGCCAGCAGATAGCATGTATAGTATTCATCATCTCTTCCAGGGATGCTTTGCAAAATTGGACAAATAAAAGTGTCACAGAAACCCATGTAGAAGGAGCAATACAACAGAACATGGCCAATCGTCTCCACCACACCAGCCTCACAAGGACATAAGCCTCTTCATAGGGAATGTTCTTATATCTGCCTCCCAGCAGGACTGAAGGGAGTACATTAAACTTTGTTAATGTAAAAGCTTTTCTATATTTTGGAAGGGTCAGAATATTCAAATAGCTTGCAGGTAAAAATGCCTGACCATAATCTCTAAAGCCAGGATGGGTCGTAGCTATGCTGACATGGTGTTGCAGCTCATTGTCTGTGATGTGCTGGCGTAGTTCCTGTTTTGCTTTTGTATAGCCCATTAACAAAATAGCACTTCTCGAGAGGCCCAAATTATTTAATTTCTCATTCATAGATCTTTTCCATCTGGACTGAAACTTATCAGTTAGCACGAGGGGAGCCAACCCCACAGGGGTGAAGAACATTTTTAGCCAAAAATTCAGCTTAAGTATCCATGCCCGAGACTCTATCAACATCTGGCCTGTTTCTAGTCATAAAAGTACATTTGGCACACAACTCGGGAGTCCAAGGATAGTTGAAGCTAGATATAAGGTTGGGGCAAACAAACAGTACTTAATGAACATGCATTAGATATGATATTTTATAGATAGGATAGAAAATGTGGAGATAGAAATGGCTAAACAATTATACAAAGAAAATGTTTATAAAATGCTCTAGATAACATCTATTATGTGTTAGGAACTTACTCGTCATTGGTATAAAATACAAAGTTTGTCAGTTAAATCATCTCAAATTATATAGATTTGGAACTGGAATTACTTTTATTAAGTATGTGATTAGAGGATTTTGAGAACATACTATGAGAGTAATATTATGATAGTAGGAATATTGTATACTAAAATACATATATGAATGGTTTTAATGTTTGAAAGATGTGTGGAATTTGGGGGGACAATTGGGAAGACACCAAGATGCAAAAAATGAATAATTGTAAGCAACCCACGTAACACAATGTTTGACAAGCACAAATCGAATGTAGGTAGATTGAAAAACTAATAAAATGTATTTTAAAAAGAACTGCAGCTAATAAACGCTGCTCTCCATTGATCTATAGTAAAATTAATAACTACAGACTCTTCAGTGCTCCATACCTATATGCATTGTCCATTCCAAAATATAGGAGAGCATTTATGTTAGCTCGCTTTAATGTATTTCCATCAGCTATGGGTGATTTAGGGAAATTCTGTTTAATGACCGAACTTGTCCTTGTGGAAATGGAGAAATCGAATCAGTTGTACATGTTATTTTTCACTGAAGAATGTATGATGATTGCAGAAAGAAGTTAATCTCTCCACTAATAGGTGTCTCTCTGCACGGTAGCCCTATAGATTTACTACTGTCCTGTTTTGAGGGTGCGTCCACTTATATTACTAACAGGGTGTCTAAATTTTTATTGATTGCTCTGGTTGATATCCTTCTAGTCACTAGTTTAAAACTTAAGTTGTGATATGGAATGGACAGAATCTATTAATTGTTTGTCTTAATGCCCTGCTTGTGTCACTGTGATGCAGGTTATATTTTTAAAAGTAGAATGGAGAGAACACGTGCGACACAGTAGATAGAGCATTGTTATGACCTGAGGAGGCATGGGTTCTTCTCTTCACTGAGTGATGAAACTCATTGGGTGACCTCGGGTCAGTCACCCTGCCTTTCTTAGCCTTACCTACCTCACAGGGTAGTTAGGAGGATAAAACTGAAAGGAGTTCACTGGAGGAAATATTGATAATTAGTAAATAAAGAAATACTGCAGAATTACCTGTTTCTCAGTTTTGGTTGAAGTAAAATTTAAACTATACCCTAGGCATAATCCCTTCTAAAGGTTTGTTTCTTTACAGGGACAAGTCTGGATCAATGGCTTTAACTTAGGACGCTACTGGCCAGCCCGTGGTCCTCAGCTAACACTGTTTGTTCCAAGCAACATTCTTGTTTCATCCTCTCCAAACAATATTACACTCTTGGAACTAGAGAAGTCTCCCTCTATCAGTGAGAAATGCATGGTGAAGTTTGTAGACAAACCTGTTCTTAATGCATCTCTTCACTATGAAAGAAGTTCTGAGAAGTTGTTGACTAAAGAATTATGGTTGGGCCATATATGATTATACTGGATTGCTTCTGGATAGCTGCTTCTTTTATTCCACCTGCACTCTCCATTGTGAAAGGAACTAGTGTTTTAAAAATCCAGAAAATAATTAACTGTGGAGAGTTTCATCAGATCAGTGGAAGACATTGAATAGAACTGTCTCATCTTTTGACGGAAAATCATGTCTGAGATTTGCGGGGTTGGGAGACATCTGATTCCATTGGCTGCCAAATTATTTCTACAAATTAATTCATGGAATGTCAGTTTAATAAACTAATGAACCACACAACTACATCAGTTTTTTTGTTTTTGTTGCTAATTCTGAGATGTTGCCTTTTTCCTTTCGTAGTCATTCACAATGTTCAATTCACAAGATTTAGACCTTGATGAAAAATTCTAAAGACAGGATTGCTGCAAGAAAATAAAGATTAAGGGCTCTGTGAAGGGAAGTCATAACAAAAGACAGAGTGTGCCGTCCCCTCAGCTGTCTAGAGAAAAACAAGGGGAAAGAAAGGAATCAAAAGGAGATGATGAAAATAAAGGAGAGTCAAAGGAGGAAAGGGAGAGGGGAAAGGAAAGGGGTAGAATCAAGCTCAAGAGGGAAAAGTCCAGAACCAGAAAGGTGTGAGGGAGAAGGGAATGGAGATCGAGAGGAGCATGAGACGGGAGAGTCGTTAGAAGTGTTGGAGGCGTTAGAAGTAATGGAAAGGGAGAAGGAAAATCCGGGTAAAAAGAAGGTGGATATTTCCTTACCACTGAAATAAACGAAAAGCCTACAGAAACTGAAAAAGTTGTAGTATATGAGGAAGATTGGGAAGAAAAAGGAATAGAGGATCCTAAGTTGTACCAAGGAAAGAAATAAGTAAAAATTATCTAAACTACGTGGTGGGACGTTGTGGCGCTGCGGGTTAAACCGCAGAAGCCTCTGTGCTGCAGGGTCAGAAGACCAGCAGTCGTAAGATCGAATCCACGTGGCGGAGTGAGCTCGCGTTGCTTTTCCCAGCTCCTGCCAACTGAGCAGTTCGAAAGCATGTAAATGCAAGTAGATAAATAGGTACCACCACAGTGGGAAGGTAACCGAGTTCTGTATCTAGTCGCGCTGGCCACGTGACCATGGAAACTGTCGACGGACAAACGCTGGCTCTACGGCTTGGAGACGGGGATGAGCATTGAGCCCTAGAGTCAGATATGACTGGACTAAATGTCAAGGGGAACCTTCACCTTATCTCAAGAAGAATAAAGAAAGTGTCAGTGAGAAAATAAATGTGAAGGAAAGAGGGAAACCGATTATTGAAGGGTTGGAGCCGGAGGAATGGACCCAAAGAGCTCAGGTCCAGTGAAATATGTCCATCACCCAAAAACTCCATCACCAGGTGAGAAACCTCCAGAAGGAGAATTGTCCCGACATCCATGTTGTGGGACCATTTGTGCCATCCACAGCAGTTTTCTGAGGGCTCCAACAGATCAAAAGAAATTCAGGGAGACGTATCGTTGAAAGAGGAAAATGCAGAAAAATCGTTGTTATTATGGGACTGTTCTCCTGCCAAGTTATCGTTGAATGAAACTGTTATGTAAAATAAAGACAAAACTACGAGTTGTGTTAATAAAAGCTGTTTTAATGAAACTCCTTCCTTGTCATTCCATTTACAAGAAGAACTGTCAAAAGTATTAAGCGAACCTTGTCACAGGCTATTAGAGCAGTCTGATAATCTTGGAACTGCAGAGCTGGAAAGGAGCCTATGGATCATCGAGTTCAGCCCCTGTCAAGGAGGCACAGTGGGGAATCAAAGTCCCAACCCCATCACTGAGCTATCCAGTCATTTTACCTATTTAAAAAGTTAAATATAATGGAATTCTAGATTTAGAATATGTCATGTAAACCTGACATTTTGAATTTCGTTTCAAATGTTTCTGACGTTTACAGCACTGGTGAATACTGGATGGAATCCACTGGTATACTTCCACTGTATCCCATTCTTTCCACCAGAATCAACAACCCTTTCTACTCGTTGCAGTCCCTTCTATATCTAATACACCTACTAGGAATAGCTTGGAAACCTTCTGGAACAGGTTGGTGGGATTTGGTTTGGTTTGTGTCATTTAGCATTTCGTTTGTTTCATGCATGGCTGTGATGGGGCGGGGGAGGAAGCCTCTGTTTCACAAGATTTGGATCCTGGCATTATATGTGCCAGGAAAAAGAGGCATGACATAGAATTTAAAAACCATAGATGGCTTTTAAAAGTGATTCCAGTGCCTTCCTGCGAATGTGATTATCAAAGAGTATTCTAACATGCCACCATTGTTTTTCATATGTTTTATCATTCTAGAATAAACAACTGGCTATAAATGGCTTCTATTGCATGTTGCAACTGAAACAATGGATGATATTCCACACTGTCATGCCCTGTTGACATTCCAGTCTCTGTAAATGAGTGCAAAATTGACAAAATGACAACACAGGTTAGCAGAAGATCTTCCTCACAGATTTTGGCTTCAAGCTGATAGTGAGTTATCTCTTACCATGTAGTCAACACCTTTGCATATTCTTTTAGACACAGGAAGCCTTGTTGTAGTGCAGTCTTGAGCTGGTCTTATGGATGGCCTTGCATGGTCAAAAAAAATAATGAACTAAAGCTACTCAGTTCTTTGATCGTCAAAATTGGCCTTTCTAATAAAAACTTGAGCACTTGATACAATAGCTGCAGACATCTCCCTGACATCTTTTCCAGTTTATGTCAGGATTACATTAGAGAAGTAGATTTCTAAACTCCCTGCTCTTGCCTGTGTTTATGGTTGAGGAGACCATATATTGTGCTCTTCGTAAATCACTGAAAGTAATTCCGTGTTTGTGAATGTTTTTCAGAAACCTTGAAACATATTGTGTATCTCTGTGATTTAACTCTCCTTCCTAGCTGCTCACCCCATGCTGTGAACTTGAATGACTGCTGCTATGAAACCTGCTGGTATATGCTCCCCCCCCCTTAATTTGTTGTTGCAGGAAGTTCAGGATAGCTAAAGTGGTGTTTATTCATTTTGGCCTTACAATAACACTGTGATGTTGGCTAGCTTGAGATGGAAGAGTTGTCCAAGGTGGCATGTTCTCAGACTGAGAATTTTTAAAAACTATAATATCAGGAGTCAGGAACTTTTCTGTCAAGACACACATTTCTTCTTGGATAACCCACTGAAGCTTCAATGCTGGTGGTGGGTGTGGCCAGAGCCAGAAGTGGGCAGGACTTGCAGTGATGCCAACACCATCATGTTGCTTCCTTCTTTCATCTCTGTCCATTTCTATTTTTCCCTTCCTTGTCTTCTCTCATTTACATAGGTTAGAATCAATCACTTGCAGATAATTTACTGCCTGCTGTTACACTGCTCTGTTAATTTTATCCTATCCTTTTTTGCTCTGTTCCTTTTTACTCTCTCTCTCTCTCTCTCACACACACACACACACACACAATGTGGAAGAAGAAATTATTCCTGAAGTCCTGCTGTAGGGAGTGTCTAGACTGCATCATGAAGTTAGTTTGGAACCCCATATTGCTGATTCCTCAATTCGTTGAAGATGGAAGTGTGCGGAACGGACCACTGACATCACCTGAGTTTCCATGGTGGGTCCAGATGTACACCCAAGCTGCGAACCTCACTCTTGGTTGTAAGAATCACACACACACCCAAAAGAGAGGGAGTTTCTTAAACCACTGATGTCTGGGTCACCCACCGGAAGGACCTCCGTCTTGCCCGTTTTCAGCCTCAGTCTATTCTCCTGCATGCATTGCTGAATGCCCCCCAGGCAGCGCTCAGGGGACAAAACAGCATTAACGGTTGTTGGAAAAAAAGAGATGTAGAATTATCACCTGTATACTGATGACATGAAGACCCACATCCCCTGATTATCCCCCTATTGGCCTCATATAGATGTTTAAAACAGCATTGTAGAGATTATCGAGCCCTGCGGAACCCCACAATTGAGGCTCCACGGGACCGAAAAGCTCTCTCCAATATGCACTCTCTGGAAATGGTCCTACAAGAAGGCAAAAGCCAGGCCACTAATTCCCAACTCGGAGAGCCTCCCTAGGAGGATACTGTTGTTGACAGTATCAAAGGTGGCTGAGATATTGTGGAGGACCAGCAGAGACATTTTTGCTCCTGCCAGCCTCCCTCAATAGGTCATCAAACAGGGTGACCAATGCTGTTTCTGTGCCGTGCCGTGGCCTGAAGCCTGATTGGAATGGATCCAGAGCAATGGTTTCATCCAGAAGAGTCTGCAACTGGTCGGCCACCACCTTCTCAACTACCTTGTTAAGGAAAGAAACATTGGCAACGGGCCTATAATTGCCAATATCGTCTGCCGTCAAGCTCGGTTTCTTCTTAATGGGCCAAATGAGTGTCTCCTGGAGAGACCCATTAATTATTGCCATGACCCATTCAGATGTTATAGGCCTGGCTGCTTTGATTAGCTAGGCCAGGCAAGGGTCAAGGGAGGAGGTGGTGGCACAACAGCAATTAAGCACTCTGCCTGCCATGTCTGACATTACAGATTGAAAGTGGATAAGTCTCATCGGGCAAGATGGAGCACTGGATGTCTCTGCTTGATCCACTGATTTCAAATAGGAGGTAAGATCCTGGCAGATGGCCTCCACTTTTGATTTTAAAAAGGCTGCAACTTGGTCAGGTGAGATCCTAGTGGGAGGCCAGTCACTATGACCATAGATTGTGGACTATACGGAAGAGTTCCGCCTGCTGATTGGAAGCTTCGCTTATCCAGACAGCAAAGTAAGCTCGACTAGCAGCCTTCACTTTAGACTGGTAAAGGTTGGTCGCGATCCTGACAGCTATTTGATTGTTTTCTGTCAGATTGTGCCTCCATATACGCTCTAGCCTTCTCCTATTTTGCTTCATTGATCGCAGCTCCTGGTTAAACTGGGGTGAAGGGCTATCTCTGCTGGGGAGGGCGTTTAGGAGAGAGAGGGGGAGAGAGGTGGTTGAGAGGGGAGAAAGGAGGCTGCTTAGTTGAGAGTTAGCAACATTGACTGGACTTTTGTCACGTAACAGTAAACAATTTCTACTTCGTTCTTAAATGATATGTTGCCCAGACCTCTGTCATTAATAGTGAATAAAGTTGATGTAATCAACTAGTGGCAGCTGAACAACATGTAGCTTGTGCCTTTGCTTAGTGAAACAACCAAGGGACAGGCAAGAACATGACAAATTGGTAGCAGCGGTGGGATCTGAAACAATTCAGTATGAAATTGAATTTTCTTGAGTCTGGAGGGAAAGGGGGTCAAAAT